TGCTCCCCTCAGCAGTGTACTTCGGCCAGTCCGCCTGTTCTTTTCCCCACTCTGTCTCTGGTGAATCCTCTCCCCCCCAACCCCAACCTCTGGCCTATACCCCAGTTCTTGTATGCATAAATAAATCTTGAAAAAAAAAATTACTTCAGTTAACCTTGTTTTAGTTTGTAAAAAATAATGCAGGATGCAAATCTTTTTTAACATTCGAAAATTTCACATAGATAAACTGGGAGGTGATGAATAGCTTTCTTGTAACAAAAGCGTGAGAAATATGTGCTGAATATACGACAGTGTTGCTTCACACATGATTCTTAAATTCTCCTACCAAGTATATCTCCATTTTTGTGGAACTGAGGCTGAAAGAACAAGAAGTTTGTCCAAGATCATATAACTAAAGTACTAAAATCATCCAAAGCCAGAAATGTAGATTATTTCTACTGTCTCTTTTATTTAGAAATGTTACTTTTATATTTAAAGTTTTCCATAAGTTTTATACCTTATTCTTTGTTATGTTGTGTTTTAACCTTTTTAATCAGTTTAGGGAGGGCCTCCCTGGTGACATAGGGGGTTAAGTCTCAGCACTATGAAGCTATCAGCAGCCACTGCAGCATGAGTTCAATTCCCTGCCAGGGAGCTACCCACATGGCATAGCAGACCTCTCCTGTCTCACCTGCTGCTCCCCTCAGCAGTGTATTTCAGTCAATCTGCCAGTTTTGCTCCTCACTCTGTCTCTGGTGAATCCTCTCACTTCTGGCCTACACCCCAGCTCTTGTATGCATAAATAAATAAAATGAATCTTTTAAAAAATAATAAGTTTGAGGAAAGTGCATTCTGTTCTCTCAATTTAAGACTTAAAATTTCTGCTTTATGTCTCCTCTAAGTGATAGCAATTAAAAGCAATAGCAGGCCTCCCTGGTGGCGCAAGGGGTTAAGCACAGCACTATGAAGCTATCTGCAGCCTCTGCAGCACGAGTTCAATCCCCGGCCAGCCAGGGAGTAACCCACATAGTGCAGCAGACCTCTCCTGTCTCGTCCACTGCTCCCCTAAGCAGTGTATTTTAGTCAGTCTGCCTGTTCTGTTCCCGTCTCTGTCTCTGGTGAATCCTCTCACCCCACTGCACCCCTGGCCTGTACCCCAGTTCCTGTATACATAAATAAATAAATCTTTAAAAAAATAGATAAAAGCAATAGCAATTACTTAGGAAGCTTACATTAGTACTAAATGTGAATTAAAAGGTTCATCTTTCCCAGGAATCTGGGTTTATACTTTGAGTGCCACATTGACTGCTTCAGTTCAACATTATGGAAATCACTTAACTTTCTTGCTCTCAGGCTGAACATCCATAAAACGAATGGAACTAGATCTTGAAAACACTGTACCACTCTGAAATTCTTTAATGCTATGTTCTGATCTGGCCCCGTGTCAAACAACGTGATTAGCACAGTGTATGGATGTGCATTCAAAAAATTGTAGCCATTTTTGATTATTAGGGAAATCAAGTTTTACTCATTTTCTTTTTATTTTTTTAAAAGATTTATTTTTACATAGAACCGGGGTACAGGCCAGAGGTGCAGGGAGTGAGAGGATTTACCAGAGACAGAGTGGGGAACAGAACAGGCAGACTGACTGAAACACACTGCTGAGAGGAGCAGCGGGCGAGACAGGAGAGGTCTGCTGCGCCATGTGGGTAGCTCCCTGGCTGGTGATCGAACTGCTGCTGCAGTGGCTGCTGATACCTTCATAGTGCTGTGTCTTAACCCCTTTGCGCCACCAGGGAAGCCCTTGAATTTAATGGAGGTAATGTTGGTTTACATTGTTGTGTTTTGGAGGTATAGGATCTCCCCCTTTCAGTGTTGTTACCATAGTGTTCTCACCACCAAAGCACCCATAGTCTACCACTGCACTCCCTTCCCATTTTGTGCTCACCCCTCCCCTCCCCCTCTGAATGTCTCAGTTCTGTAGTCTGCTTTCAAGGTCTAGGTTTTGAGTTTGACTTTATCTGGCCCTTGGTCAGGTTTCTCTAGTTCTGTTCATTTTCATTTGATATCAGCTCTTGGCTACCCCCGCACAGCCCTGACTGGTAGGGAAAACTCCAGCTCCCTGGTGGCTGTTCCTTGTCTCCATTTTAGACTGCCTTCTAGAAATGGATTTGCCATGTTTCTAGGTAATGTACATTGAAAGAGAAAAAACAGGAGAACAAGTAGTAAGCAGTCTATAGTAAAATGTCTAGATTAAATTCTCTATAAACGTTAAAAACAGATTTGTATTCTGAACAGACTTGAGTGTCTGCTTTATATTAAAACTTTATTCCGAAATAACTATTGATAAAAGTTAGAATCAAGGATCCATGAGGATTGACTAAACTAGAAATTACAAGCTTTGTGCTTTTGGAATAATTGAGTTCAGAGCACTTCCTTTCCCATCATCTAGTCTAGCTAACTACGCATAAAAGAATTGCTTCTAAAACATCAGCCTATATTAGAAAGCTGTCACATTAGAAGGCACTGCTTCTCAAGGGCAGCTCATCTAGTTGTTGAAACCCAGTGCTGTGGGAACTATTGCACTGAACCTAAATCTGTTTCCATATTTGTCTCCTTCATATGACAACCCAGGCATTGTCCCTTCTAGCATTAAATTTCTTCCCAGCTCTCAGTTGTCCCTCTTCTGCTCATAGTTATACTATTATCACTTACACTCCTCTTATTTTTCCTATTATTGACTCTCCTTCACATTGTCTTCCCACACATCTTCCACATTCCTTCTTCACAATGTAAATAGAAATCAAAAATATAAATAGCAAAACAACTTTCTTCACTTCTCCCCATGCTTTACAAAAATATATTTTAATCAAACCCATGGCAACCCTGAATAGCCATGACCAAATGGGAGAACTCCAGGTAACTGTTATTTGTCACTCATTTGGAGTCATCCTGTTATTAAAATAACTTAAAAATGATTCTTACCCCAAGACAAAAGCTGAAATAGCCTTTTCACAAAGTATTGGTAGGTTAGTAGTGATTATAAATATTTAATTAGGATTGATTTTTTTTTCCAGATTTTTTCTTCATTGCTCAGCCCCTTTCTACCTTCATTGACTGAAGCCAGATGCTTATATCACCATCTCTAATTTGCAGAATTGATCTGTCCTTATACTACATCCAGCATTGATTCTATATGGAGCATAGATCGTTTTTCTGATGCATATGGATTCCATAGCTCTCTCACTCTGAGATCACACACAGCATAACTTTAACCTGACCAGTTAATCGAAAGGAATGTGTTAAAATGTAGTCCGTGTGAAGTATGCTAGTTAAAAAGTTAAAATCTTCTAAAGAGAGGGCCAGTGGCGCAGGTGGTTGAGCACTGCACTGTGAAGCTGTCTGCAGCCAGCCGGGGAGATACCCACATGGTGTGGCAGACCTCTCCTGTCTCGCCCACTGCTCCCCTTAGCAGTGTATTTCATCAGTCTGCCTGTTCTGTTCCCTGCTCTGTCTCAGGAGAATCCTCTCACCCTCCCGTGCATCTGGTCTGTACCCCAGTTCTTGTATAAATAAATAAATCGTTAAAAAAAATCTGCTAAAGAGATACATAAAAATGTCTAAGAAAGACTGATTTTACTTATTTGGTTTGAAAGTGAATAAGGCAGTGAGTGTCCTTTTTGTCGAAACGACATGACCCTCTTGAGGAATTAGGAAATAGCTGGAGCTTCTGACTAAACTTGATCTTATAGAAGTGTGACTTTGTTGAGATATTTCTTTGAAGGTCAAGGATGCCTTTTCTCTTAACAGCTGCTTTAGATCTTAGGAATTAAGTGTCAATTTTAGGATATGTTTGTTCGTAAAAATTAACAGACATTGGAGAATCAATTGGTGATACTAATACACAATTCCATTTAACTAAAAATTGCACTGGTGATTAATTGCATTTAGTTCTAGTTACTGGCATCTAACAGGTGGCAAAAAAATCAAGATCCAGATAAAAGATGATGGTGGCTTAGAGTAGGGTGAGAGTGTGGACGTAGTCAAATTATCTAATACAGGAAAACTGTTGCTAAAGGAGCCAGGGTCTGGATACAATCAGATGTTTATGCTTGACTGATATTTGTAGTCACTAAAGAAAGATCATGAAAGAATGTGAATTGGAATTTGTAAAAAGAGACTGAAAGTAAATGTTGCATGTGAACCAAAGGGGCACTGTGTTATATAAAACCATGTATTAGCAGTGTCAAGTACAGTATGTTAGATGTTCTCTTAAGTAATTTGCCATAAATAGTTTAACTATAAGTGTTGTTACAGTTAATTGAATTGAATCTTGAAATCCTCTATGTTTATAATTGTCAAGTTTCTTAGGAGTTAAATACTGTTACAAAGATAACTTACAGAGATAGATGTATACCGAGAACTCTTTAAATTTAAATTTCTATTTTTGGTTTTGGGACAGTACTTTATCCACAATAATTCTGGATTTTATTTCCCAAGATAGAGGTGTCTAGTTAAATTTCAGTTGACAGAAGTGGAATTAAGACTTGAAATTCACTACTACAGTCATAAACTGGTAGACCATATACTACTGTATGACTGAGTTTCTTCATCTATAAGATGGATGAATAGTACCTATGTTACAGGTGATTGGTAGCAATTAAACTGGCTCATCTATGGAGTGTTTAGGAGAGAGCCCAGCATATAGTTGGGTGCTCTATACATGTCAGCTATTACTAAAAGGGAAAGTTTGCTTGGGTCGATTGGCTGTGTTAAAATTAAGCCCGCTAGCCTCAAAACTATAAATATAGATTCATTGTTCTTTCAACATTCGTTGATATGTACTATATAAAGAGGAAAAATAATCCATACTTAATTTTAAGTCTTTTCTTACATATGGAGATAGTGGTTAGGGTTTTTTTAGTTGTGAAATTATGTGCTACTGTATCTTATATTTTATATAACAACTTTGATAATTCAAAACTCATTTTGACCCCAATCTATGATTTTTGTCATTGCAGGCAAGAAGACAACAAGACCCTAGTCCTGGTTCTAATTTAGGTGGTGATGACCTCAAACTTCGTTAATTAGTAGCACAGCAGATGTGTTCCCATCTTTACATATGTGTTGTTTCTCGTTGGCAGAAATAATTGATTAAAAAGACCAGAAACTGTGATAACTGGAGGTACTTTGGTCTAATTCTCAACCGTAGGCAGTTATAAGACATCACAAACTGCCATGGTTTTGCACTAAAATTATAATACCTGCATTTCTAATTTTGTATGCATGTAGCCAGTAATAATTTGAAATTTTTTCCTATGCAAGCTTACCTTGTTGGCATTATTTTAGTGAGTTGAAACTATCCACTTGTAAAGCTCTTCTTTCACTCCATTTTAATTTAAAGTTCATGTCATTTTAAGACAAGTCAAGAAATTAAAATTTTTATCAGAGGGTTTTTTCCCTAGTCGGTTGCTCTTTTTTTTGTAATTTTAGATGGCTATACGACTTCATTTTAGATAGGCATTCTTGGTTTTTGTGTTTTGTTCCCCCAATTTCCTTTCATGTTTTTATAATCTATGGCATTTAAACTGCTGATATGTTTGCATTATTTACAAGCTAAAAACCTAGTAGCATCGAGCTGTCTGCCACAGCCTTCTAACACAAAGTTTACAGTTGTTAAAGTTGCAGTATCCTTTCAAATGTCAGTAATCAGCTCCTTTCCTTTTTAAACATAAAATTTAAATTGGTATTAATTCTAACCTGTCCCAGATCTGTTTTAGATTCTGTTCTGTAATCATGAGTTGTGTGGAGATAATTCTCCATAGATAATAATATTTCTACTGAAATGCCTAAAAGAAGTCACAGGCTGGCTTCTGTTTTATTCAGGGATTTTTTTTTTTTAAGTCAGTCAGAAAAGGGATACTGGAGCTTCTTCATGTATGTAACAGCATATTAAACTGGAGACAGTGATGAATCAGCTACAAGGTAATATTGTATTAAAACCATGTTTAACATGTCTGCTTTTTTGTGTATTTTAAAATGCAAGCTTTTGTAAAAACAAAGCTGGGTGATAAAAGATAAGAGAAAATGTTCATCTGTGCAGAGGATACATTTTCTTCCATTAATTATCCTGGGAAAAAAATTCACATCTATATATATGGTATTTTTCAAAAGGACTATTAATAGAACCTTTTGAGATGAATTAGTGTAAGAATATTTTTTAAGAATAGCTTCACTGTCAAATTGAATGCAACTTTTTTTTTTAAATACAAGACTGGAAAAAAGTGCTAAGTCATTTGGCACCTCCTTAAAATATTTTTCATGGTCACATTCATTAAATGTTAGTACATTTCTGAATTTTTGCAAAAATGTATTTTATCATAATAGAATGGCATTATTTTAAAGAGTTTGAAAAACGGACATGGTCAATTCAGAAAATGAACTGAAGTCTGAATAAGGTCACTGCATTTAAAACTTATATATGTACTTGATATTGGAGGTCTGACTTTCATTGTATATAGGTCTTATAATTCATAAACATATCCTGTATCTGAATAAAAATATTTGTTATATATTTGAAGTCATGCATGGTAAGGAGTTTGTTTAAATTGTTATCAACAATAGTGCATCATAAAAGACCATGCTGATTTTGTGTGACTAAATACTATGAATGAATTTGGTTGGTATTTGGTGTTATACAGCTCACATGTTTACACACTCAGTGCCCTAATTTCCCCTGAGGGAATTGCCTTTTTAAGTGGTCCTTACAGTGGTGTTTTAAGGTTACTTTATTACTTTATTACAGAGCTCCTTGGTTTTTGACTTCTGCACTTAAATTTTTTTAGTAACGTGATGATGGTACATTTTTCTCAGTTGCATCTAGCTGAGGGCTTTCAGTCCACCAGTAACTAAAATCACATGTTATTAAATGTTCATGTTGCCATCCTCCTGTAAATACTGGGTTTTTCCAATCATTTGGCACTATGCTGCTTTTGTCTGTCTTAATGCTGGCATTAAGATCATGAGCCCTTTTTCTCCAGTAGTACAGGCCTTGGAAACTACTTTTATTAAGTTATTGATGCAATTTGATATTTTTCCATAATCTGTATTTAAACAAAATTACATCATTGCATCATCTTTTCTAAATTCATCTCCATAAAAACTTGCCTTAAGCTTCCAGATTGCTTTTGCTACCATTAGCCATACTGTTGTTTATATGTTTAATTTACTTTCACAATAAACTTCTGTGTAGTAAAAACAGGATCTTGGCTCTTTATTGACATAATCCAACAATTTTTATTCTAGTGTTCAATGTGACCAAAATATTGTTTATCCTGAACCTTTCTTTGATCTTGCTTGCTCACCTTTAAAACAGCAGCAACAGTGGCATCTAGTGGTTATTTCTGCTAATTCCAAAAGAAACCTTTAATGTCAATATCACACAATACTAATTTCTGTTTATTATTATTTTTAAAAGTGACCTTATTTAGTTATTCTATAATACCTTAAAAGGAAGACTTCCAAAAATTACACATCCATATTAGTACCATCTTTCAAGCTAATCATTTTAAGGATACACAATTTGATTGTGCTGGTATTGTATCAGGCAGTCTTAGGAATTTTCCTGTTATTTTTCCCATACCAGTAAATTAAGCCTTTTACTTTAAAAGATGCCTTAAGCTTGATCCATAATGAAAAAATGTACATATTCATACCAGACTTACTGCAGATAACAAATACCTTTAAATATTGAATTGGCACCATTAAGCAAAATTCCAAAGGATAAGATTCATGTTCTAAAGATTAGTTTCGAAAATTACTTGAGCAGTAACACGATTTTAGTAAATATATCACCTCCAGAAATATGTATTCAGATATGGTAGTTCTGGGCTGCTTTAGCAAAGAAATCTCTACGCCTCATTCAACAATGGGGGAGCTTTTTCAAGTTATAAGCCATTGTATTATCCATCGCTAACTCATTACCCTAAACTTAGCTTAAAACGACATTTATCTCATGGTTTCTATGGATCAGAGATGCAAAAGAAGCTAAAAGGGGTTGGTCCAGCTTTCTCATGAGGTTGGACTCAAGTTGTCCGCCCTGCTGTAGTCATCTCACCACTTGACGACGGCTGAAGGGTTACCTCTCCAGCCCATGCAGGTGGACACTGAGGCTTCAGTTCTGTAGACTACTGGACAAAGCCTGACTCCTTGCTAGGTTTTGAAATGGAGTCTTCCTTTAGTTCCCTGCCACAGGGGTGTGTCACCATCACCATAGGGCAAGTCATAGGTTGGCAGCTGGGTTCCCCCCCTCCCCAAAAGTGATCCAAGAAAGAAGAATATAATAATGTAATATTCTGTTAAAAGTGAGTTATTGGTTTGGGCCCACACTCTAAGGGAAGGAACATTAAGCTGCTTGAAAGGCAGAGTGTCTGCCTCCCAAGTGGCCAAGGGGTTAAGTCTTAGCACTGTCACCTCAACCTGAGTTCAATTCCCAGCCAGGGAGCTGACCCACATGATGCAACAGACCTTTCCTGTCTCGCCTGCTGCTCCCCTCAGCAGTGTATTTCAGTCAATCCTCCTGTTCCCCGCTCTGTCTCTGGTGAATCCTCTCACCCCCCACACCTCTGGCCTACACCCCAGTTCTAATATGAAAAAATAAAATCTTTAAAAAAAAAAAAAAAGCAGGGTTTCAGAATATGTGGATTATTTTTAAAACCACCATAACCATATTTGCCACATATGTATCTACATATAACTATAAGACAATATTGATGGGGCCTCCCCGGTGGCGCAGCGGTTGAGCGCTGGGTTGCGAAGCTGCCCGCGGCCTCTGCGGTTCAATCCCCGGCTGCTCCCCGGCCACCAGAGGAAGGTCCCACATGGCGCACAGACCTCTCCTGCCACCCGCTGCTCCCCTCAGCAGTGTACTTCGGTCCTTCTGCCTGCTTTGCTCCCCGCTCTGGCTCTGTGAATTCTCTCACCCTCCCTCCCGCGCTTCCGACTGTACCCAGTGCATGTATAAACAAAACAAATAAATAAAACATGCCTCTAAAAAAAAAAAAAAAGACAATATTGATGTTTTGATACAGCAAATACTTTTTGAAAGTAAGATCTAAGTCTGGGCCTCTGGTGGTGCAGGGATTGAGATCTCAGCGCTATCAAGCTATCACCAGCCACAGCAGCATGATTTCCATCCCCAGCCAGGGAGCTACCCACATGGCGCAGCAGACCTCTCCTGTCTCCCAGCTGCCCCCCTCAGCAGTGTATTTCAGTAGATCTGCCTACTCTGCTCCCTACTCTGTCTCTGGTGAATCCTCTCACCCTCCACACCTCTGGCCTATCCCCAGTTTTTGCATAAATAAATCTTTAAAAATAAAAAAAAAAAGTATTTTGTAGACAGATTTCAAGGCATGAGTCCCCCTCTTTTTGCACCACTACAACATAAACTTATAAGATCACTCCAAAATGTTGCAAAGCTAAAAAATTATTGTAGGGTGGGCTCATGAGTGGAAATGACAGTTTGGTTCACTTAAATAAAGGATACTCTAAAATAGATTAGTCATCATATTAGTCAACTCTCAGCTGGTAAAAATAGCACCTTAGAAATAAGGATCATTATTGACTTTATTCAGGTTTCAAAAACGGGAGAAATGTGAGGAGATAAAAGAAGATACAGTGCTTGCTTCAGCAGCACATATACTAAAATTGGAATGGTAAGAGATGAGCATGGCCTCTGCAAGAATGACATCAATTTGTAAAGCATTTTTTAAAAGATTGAAGGGAAATTTTTGATTGGAGAAGATAATTTTTTTTAATAAAGATTAAAGGAAAATTTGATTATTTTAACTCCTAGGATCACTTAGGGAAAAATTTATATCCAGTGCCCAAAATAGACAAGGTCCCTGCCTTCACGGAATCTACCTGTGAAAAATAAAATGACCAAAAAGCAGCAGGAACAACATTAAGGTATACTGGATGTACTGGTTGTTGCAGATCTGATGGCAGATGCTATGCTAGCGAAGAAGAAATGACAAGTGTTATGGTAGCCAGGCAAGAGCATGGCAAGTTTGAGAAACTATAAACAGTGTAGTATGACTAGAACAGATTTAGAGGGGGCTGCAAATTTAAGCCATGTTTAAACATTTACACTGCTTGAAAGGACTACCATTTGGAAGCACTGAGGGGCTGAATGCTTGAATACCTCATTTTGGCTGATTGGAGAGAACAAGACTGGAAGCAGAAAGTCCTGTTGATCATATGGTGATGCAGTAGGAATCAGTAGATGGCAACCTGAGAAAAAAATAGAGGCATAATTGGCACCTTCCCCAGTTTCTCTTATCAAAATAGACTGGTTGTGTTGCCCTCAAATCCCCCCTTCCCCAACTTTACTGGCTTAAAGATTTAATCTCTCACTTATTTGCTAAAACCCCCGTCAGTGGTTGACCTAGGCTGATTGAGCAGTCACTGGAACATTGCCAGCTATTGTGAGGAAGCCAAGAAGATAGTGTAATGAAAGGGGCACATGTGGCTTCTGTTTCATTTCATTAGATTTAGCAAGTCACAGGGCCTTGGGCAACTTCACAGGGAGGGGAACTATTAATACCATCCTGCCTTTTGTGGCCCAGGAGAGTCAGAATATTTGTGGATGGCTCTATTGACAAGCACAGGCTACCCTCTCCTTCCCTCAAGAAAATATATCTACCTTGGGAGACAACCTAAAACTTCCAGCTGGCTAGCTGCTAAGCTGAAATTCTATGATATGTGGTCATCTGCCTTCCACAGAGCTAGCATATGGTGGTGAATTAGGGACAGGAAAACTGTAGGAAACACTTCCATTCAGCAAGGGGGAGAGTAAAGTCAATGTCCGCAACGTTCATGAAACATCACTGGGGATGTAACAGGGTGGTCCCCAGGAAAGGGGGAGGTTCCCTGCCCCACCCAAGGGAGGGTGGAGCTGAGCAGGAAGAAGAGAAGCTGCAGAAGAGACTGAGGAAGGAAGCAGGATGGAGCCAGGAGACCCGGAGGAGGCGCATGGAGCCTAGAGACACGTGAAGAAACTGCGCTTGTCTTGGTCGTGGACTAGGTGACACAGATGTGGGTGAGACCCGTGGGGAGGTGACAATGGCAGCTTTTATCTTGATGTTGATTTTGCTCTTTTCCTTCCGGGCTTGTCCGGTTGTTTGTGACCCTTTTCTGTGGGTCCCCACTGGAAGATGCTTTAGACTTGTGGCAGGCTTTGGGGCCTTGTTCTGGGCCAATCCCATTTGGATGGACTTTTACCCACAAGGGGATGGGTAACTCTGGATGCTTCATTTAGAAACTAGACTCTTTGCCTTACCTGTATTGTTTCCTAGTTTTATTAAAGTTCCTTCCCATTAAAGTCTCCTATGTTTTGTGTTGATGCGGCGGATGGCAGAACCCATTTAGAATAGGCAGGTTTGCGGGGTTTGGGCTGACCCTTTCCCTGTCCTATAACAGGGAGACCACTTGGGAGCCCTCTACCTTGAGACAGTGTTCAGTGTAAGGCTGACTGGGAGGGACTCCCCCATTCACCGTTTTCTATGACCCTGGGCCCCATGCCTGATGTGCTGGATGTAATTATCTTGTATTTCTTCTTTCAAACTTTTTTTTTGGTACCTTGCCAAATTAACCAACAGTTACCATGGTACTAAAATTCTGTTTTCCAAGGTCTTCAAATTGGCTTTCAAACTTGGTACATTTGGGGGCCTCCCTGGTGGCTCAAGGGGTTAAGCGCACCACACTGTTAAGCAATCCACAGCCTCTGCAGCATGAGTTTGATCCCCGGCCAGCCAGGGAGTACCCACACTGCGCAGCAGACCTCTCCTGTCTCGCCCACTGCTCCCCTCAGCAGTGTATTTCAGTCAGTTTGCCTGTTCTGTTCCCCCTGTCTCTGGTGAATCCTCTCACCCTCCCGCGCATCTGGCCTGTACCCCAGCTCTTGATTGCATAAAAAAATAAATCTTTAAAAAACAAACAAACTTGGTACATTTGCTGCCTTCCAAGTTAGCATGTGATAATTTGAACAGAAGGATTGGCAAACTTTCAATCTCAAGTCAGTACCCCCAAACCACTTTCGTGTGTGAGGTTGGTCTTCCCAAAAGGGTCAGTTAGACTTTTCTCAATATACTCAGAATAGACCTCCTGTCACCTTCATGTGGGAACTGGAGGTCAATCAAGGCCCTATGTGCCTGGAGAAGTCCATTATTACCATTACTGAAATAACCAAATTGTTTTGAGTTGAGAGCTGCGAGGGACC